AATACTAATATTGCACGTTTACTGCTCAAAGTGTTTCAATTTCAGTTACTGCCACTGACTGTAATACTACATTGATATCTGGATAATCATATCGGTTCCTTTGAGGTCAACCATATATATGGTATGGGGCTCCGGCGATAGCGCTGAGTCTTTTTAAGAATGCGGTTCAATTTGTGACTATTTATGGTTTGCCTTCCACTGACGTCACCTCGTGATGGGGGGAGCCAATGTCTGAATGAGACAGAGTACCAATACCAATCACTAGAGACGTCGGACTTTGTAAAACAGTATTGGAAGACAAACAATGCAAATTGGTTATGTGCTCGGTTATTTAGCTTAGCCGTACGCGTTTTTCCGCCATTGCTTGTATTTATTTCTATTCTGCCAGAAAGCACGGAAGCCGTTTTAGTTGTCTGCAGGGATGGTCTTCTGACACTTCAGCGATCTCGCGACGGACTGTCGTAACTGCCGCACTGGTAGTGTCCGTTCAGGTCGGGCTTCAGGCAGATGAAGCAGAACTTCTGACCGCAGACACAGGCCTGAAAATAGGAGGAATAACGGACAATCAGTGAGTCAAACATGACTGAAAGGTCATCCGTGGGAGGAGTCAAAAGAGACTGTCTCGGTGAATGCACTGCCTACCAGAAAGGCAGTAAACAGACTTTATGCAAAGGCAGAAAGTCCTATTTTCTAAAACGATGCAAGGTTACTGAGTTGTGTAGTTTTGTTGAAGTCATGTATAATGGAAGATATGCATAGTGGACCGTATCTGAATCTCTTGCCTCTTCGGAGAATTTATCCAATCTGTTGATTTATTCTGTATTATGTAGAGGTGGAAGTGAATACGGTAAGTTAGAACACCGTACCATGTGCTTGCAGGCCTTCTCATGCTCGATAAGCATGCCGCACTTCAGGCAGGCCCTGACGGCAGGACAGTTAGCCACGCCCACGATGGTCTTCTTCTTGCAGTCGCGGAGGATCTTGAGACGCGGGTCTTCACCGCCGCAGCTGTCATTGCCGCACTTCTCGATGCCTCCTCCGACCCACTGGTGCAGGCAGTGCCAGCAGAAGTGGAACTCCACGCCGTCAGAGGCCGAGCACAGGGGACACACCACGCGCTTGTGCTTCTTGTTGATGCGCTCACAGAGAGAGTGACACTTGGGACACTCCTGGATGCCCATCCCCTTGCGCAGGTAGTTGTCGGAGATTTTGGTCTCGAACTGCTTCTTTTCGTCCGATGTGAGGACGGCGAGACGACGGACCTCCAGATATGTCCACTCCTTGCCACAATACGCCCTATCTTGACCGATGTAAGGGCACTTGAAGACGTACTTTCCTGAACTGGAGAATCAAAGGTCGAAAATTTTAGACATCTGTGGGTCTTATGGCACTAGTTCGAGTCGTAAGTTAGCGCAAACATGGCAAAGGATGGTGGGAAATACTGGGCCGCGCAAAGGATGACGGGAGAACTAACTCCCGGAAGTTCCGGCGGACGGACGTACCGCGGTCGGCGCGGTGACTCCTTGCTTTCAAACAATAACTCCTTGGCCTACAGCCCATGATCTAGGGCCACATCCCACTAAGATTAAATCGAGTCGAATTGATTTGGTTTGCTCCCGCTTTAACCCGGCTCCAATCCGGCCCGAAGCCGGATCAAACCGAATCAATTCGCCTCGATCCAGACAATTTTATTCCAGCTGCAATGGGGCCTAGACCTCTGAACCCCTCAAGATAGATAAGCAAGAAAAGTGGGTAACAAAATGGCGAAAGCGCCACGCTGCAACCAAATTAAGTGACACGTACTTAAAAATAATTGAGAGACACGTACCTCAGCAGACTCTCACAGAACGTGGTGAGTGTCTCAGGAGTGATGGCGTGCCCACAGGACATCTTGGCTCGGGGCGTGTTGGGGTCATCCTATCAGCTGATCATATCAGGAGCCTCGGTGGTCTCCACGTCCTCGTCCAGTTGCTTCGGCGGAGGAGACAGGTCTTCCACGGTGTCGCTTCCTCCCTTCAGGCGCAGAACAACTGTGAGGTTGCACTGATCCTCCATTTTGTAGTCCGACAGGTATTTGTTTTGACCATAAATAAGTTGTTTGGTTGTGTAGAGGATGCGCAGGGTTTTCGCAGGTATGCCGTTTCTCTCACTGATCTTGTTGATCAGCTCGTCTACTGTGGCGTCCTGCACAACATTTAGGAACAAGATATTTGAGTTTCCTAGCGGCTTTCTTGGAAAATTTATTGCGTCTCTGCTGCTGAAAAGAAGGCTAGAATACAGCGGCTATTTTTTTACAGTGCTATGTGAACTTGTAAATTGACTTTTAAGACATTAAGTACACCGTTTTGTGGGAAACACACTTATTGCATCCCATACACTTCATGTTCACTGCTGAAAATAATTTTCTTTTTTTTTTACAATCCATCTTGAAGGCCGCACACGTCAACATTGTAAGTTTATTCCAAAATGCCACTTGCTACACAATACTAGTGCAATGCGTGTAATTTTGATGCATTCAGCTAGAGGGCGCAGCGGCTATCTTATCATTAGGGAATGCCTAGTGGAGAGATAGGAATGTATTTCAGTAGTCTGACGTAAAAAGACCTGGTAGACACCATATAGACAGGTACACAGCTCAACCTTTTACGTAACGTGATTGCCAGCACAGGTACACAGGTCAGGTAGACAGGCCAAGTAGTCAGGCAATGTAGACAGCTGCAAATTTTCCGTTAAACCATTGCCCATACAAATGTATGCACCCACTGAAAATGGAAGTATCCACTGAAACTGGATGTACCAGCCGAAACTGAAAGTACCCGCCGAAAAGGAAAGTACCAGTGGATAATGAAAAAAAAACAAACAGTGTCCCTCTTGCAATTTGACTACTTGGATTTTAGTGCAAGGTACCATGATTGTGTAGCCTGGGTACCATCCTACATGTATGCCGGGGCTCCCACAGTTGCTTCCCTAACAAGTACTTGTTAGGGAAGCGAGTGTGGGAGCCCCGGCATACAAGTAGGATGGTACCCAGGCTAATGATTGTGTAGTCCGAGTTCAAGATTGTTTGGAATCCCCATTGAATAAAATCTAATAATCTAAATAAAATACAATCTAATAAATGCAAAAATATTATCCATGTATGTGTCGCGTTGTCAGTTTCACGCCATCCTTTCCGTTCACTTGTATGAGTATTAGGCCATGTTGATTTGATTATATGGATGACATCCTCTGGGAACCCAAAAACTGATGCGAGTGTGCAAATAAAATTTAAAAAAAGTTGCTTTCATTAGGAAAATTTACGTGGTCTTGATGGTTGAACAAAAGGCACAGAATATGGTATGGAGAATAATATACTCTTCATATTCATTTCTTTACATTTTTGTCTTTTTTCGGTTAATTTTGGCATTCTACTAGCCTCTAACAGGCTGGGGAGGCGGATGTAAAGAGTAGAAATCGGCCAAATAGAGAGATAAGCATGGCAAGGGATCCGGAGTTTGTCCGTTGAGAGAACATTTCGCCGCACCCCAAGCCTGTCGGGAGTCGCCCTTTCTTTGAAGTCCACTAATCGGCTATCTTATAGGTGCCAAGTAGCTAAATTACACGGTTATTGCTTTGCGACTGGGCAGTGACAGGCAATGACACGAACGCCTGTGTGAAGTCTCAGAGAGGTCCCTTTTTTCATCAAAAGAAACACAAAAAGAAAAGAAAAGAGAACCCTATAATATTCAAGACCATCCTGACCATGTTTCCGATCAAGATATCCGGATAAGCAGCATGAGACCCCGTTTTCAGCCCGCATGCTTCCCTGTCGCTAGCGGCGTGGGGTACAATGGCGAAATGTTCTCTCAACGGACAAATTCCCTTGCTATGCTTATCTCTCTATTTGGCCGATTTCTACTCTTTCCAGCCGCCTCCCCAAGCCTGGTAGAGGCTAGCGTTTTCCAATAGTTTTTCAACTTACGGTATATATTTGGTCATTTTGTAACTGTTTTGTACGATTTACAGTATGCTTGAAAAACTGTCGAAAATTCATGCGCGCGTCGATGTCATCCATATAATCAAATCAACATGGCCTTACACTAAGAGCCAAGATTTCCATACCTTGTGGATTCTCACAATGGCGGTCTCTCCACGTATCCCTTTGACAAAAAGCTGCCAGATGTTGTCACCCTCAGGCATTTTGCCGATCACAAAATTCTAGAAAGGCAAAATACAGCAAGTAACGTTCCGAAAATCAGCAAATTGCCTTTGCCGAAACCAGTGGCTGTGTGACTGATAAATGCAAGGGACTTTACGTGCACGGTCGTAATCTAAAATAAGGCGATGCCAATGCTACATGTTAGAATGGGGGCAGAGGTTGTTTTCATCATAATTACATACATGCTAACGGATGTAAAATGTGAACCTATTTGCATTTTCCAACATAAAACTTTAAATAAAATATACCTACCATTACGTCTGCGAAATAAGTGCCAAGTGATCATCTATTATCATCATTTATTTGAAGAAAAGGGAGAAAATAACCCCCATAGCGCTTATAATTGAACAACCTCAGCCGAGTGGTACCTTCCAAGTTTCGATTACGTCACGTCAGTGGGCTTTCCACCGGCTGATACCACTTTTTGAAAAGGGGTGGTAGAAACTAATCCAATAAAAATGCACAGCGAATAGAGGTACTACGTTTTTCAGTGTTTTGTCGATTTTAATTAGATTAAAGATGAATACTGTAGCTCAGTAAGAATTGGCTGCAGTCGGCATATAGATTTACGAATATTGATCCCACCTCCCCTCTCGACTTGATACTGGAAATTAACGGGCGGGGCCAGGCCAATGAGTCATAGCGGACCGAAACCTAACGGAGTCTGAGATTACCACAACTCTGAAATCCCCGCTGAGTCAGACTCAATACGTACCAGATACATCATAATAGTGTGAGACGCAGAACGTTTCTGAGGCAATTCAATACAAATTCGTTAGAAAAAAAACAGTTTGGGATCAAGCAACATGGAGAGACAATTCGCATCCCGGTAAGTTGCCTTATTTTTGCTCAATCGGTCAAACCGGAAGTAGAAATATCGCGCGCCCAGCTTGATACGTTGTATGCTCAGCACGTCGGCAGAATGAACTGCGTGAAACCCCTAATGAATTATACATAGCATTTCGGCAGAATGCCTCATATAAGGTCGTATTCGCTCATATAAGGTTAGCATTTCGACAGTAATTTCCAAATGTTATTTCGGAAAAGATATCCTCTGCAATAGTCAAAATTCTATTGCAACGTTGCAATTGACATCCAACGAAAAACGCGAAAATCCAGCCGACGTGCTTGTAAGCTCCAAAGTGAAAGAAGGTTAGGCCACACCAAGTAAATTTTTTGGATGCCGTCCGCGCGCCCATTAATTTTGACCTGTTCCTAGAAAAAAAAAAACAAGAAATTCCGCTTTCCGTAACTATGACCAAAGACAGTGCCGCAAATCATCAGATCGTGAAACCCGTAACGCCGAAAGCGTGTGCCTTGTTAAAAAAATTGAAAAAAAAAAATGAAAAAAAAAACAAAAACGAAAATGGCACTGAAAAAATCCTGTCAATAGCTCCAAAACAGTGCCGTTTTTGGAACTATTAACAGACAGGATGGTCCTGTCAGCAGTGCAATATTTCTTATCTAGGCATCTTGTTTTTTAGGGCCCTTCTTGTTTTTTTTCGCCCTCTCTCATTAGATTTAGGGTATCCAAAGGACGTCATCCATAAAATTTACTTGGTGTGGCCTTAGATAAATGCAAAGGCATATATTTACTTTCACAAAGAGCTTGGATATACATACGTACATTTTCTCACGTGTTGGCATTGGGGTGTTGATAGCCTCGATCCCCACCCGAGTCATACCTATAGCCTCGACCAGGCCATCCTACGACAGCACTTTGCAAAATTATGAAATTATAAGAAAAATTTGAAATAATTGACCAGGAGAGTCAGTCAGGGGAGGCACGGGCAAATGAACTCTACGGTGGCTAAACTCCCGTGGCCAGTTATTCTCCCTATTTATATTTCAGTCCATACCATGGTATGGATGAAATATATTGTGTTCCCTCATGTTTCTCCTCCTTCTCCTTCTCCTCCCCCTCCTCCTGCCACTTGTTCAGAGGGATTCAACTCCGCCATCATTCAGCCAAATGACCTGAAATTTGGCATGGAGGTAGAGTGGGCAAATACCCCCAGACTTTTTTTAATTTTTTTGAAACATGCCTTTGAAAAATTTTTATGAAGGTTTTTTGGGGCATTTTTCGACAAAAAATTGATTTTTGGATCCTGAGCCCTGGTATTACAACCAAATGATATGACATTCGGTAGAAGGGTACCTTGAACGTGTGTCTACAGAATAGCAGTCATGTATTTGGCATACACCACTTCAGAATGACTCATTTGGGGGACTGTAATGGCTATTTTCAGCATAAAAAGGGCCAAAAGTGCTGTACCCGTTCCATGTTCTATCTAAAGAATGGCCGGTTCCATCCATGGAACACGTGTTCCATTGCGGGTTACCTGAGGTCACATTGCACCCAAGTGGTGCGTAATGACCCACACATTCAATTTTATGTGCCTAAGACCTTCAAAATGTATCAAATCTCATCTTTGTTAGTTTTTGCATACCTGTAATAAGATTAGTAAAGCTTTCGAGATTCAAAGTACTTGTTGTTGCTTCTTTGTTCTCATATAGCTACTATTTAATTCATTTGTTTGAGAACCTTTGCCAGTTTTGCACTGGGGCAAGTTTGGAATAGTCCACTTTTGCGTGGGAGGGAGATGGACCGAAATATGCTGTATCTGCTCCCAAGCAAATGTCGGCCTTTCTAGTTGACTATTAAATCTTACTGTTTTTAAAGACCATGCGTGTACTATATACACACCCATTAAATTTGGCTAACGTAAACTACCAGGCCTTAGTCTATCCCTGACTACCGTGGTGGTAACATGGGCACAGGGCTCTTCAAGACACTTGTATCTCAGTACAGGTTTGGGACCCCTTAGCAGATAGATAGAGTCTTTTCGACATTTTAAACTTCATAAGAATTATGGATTAGGATGGCTCAAGAAAACTTGAATATGTTTATTCATATTTTTTACAATGTTCAATTCTCAATGGTTTCTGCTAATGTGTATGCATGCACATAAGGACACACCAATTTCATCAACTGGTTCTACGATTCGCCCTCTTTATTTTTTTCTGATTTGCAAAAAAAAGTCAGTTTGTAAATCAGTACAAAACGCTCATATAAACGTTCCAACAGTTTTAGAAAATCTTCCTAGCTGTTACAGTTGTGTCATCTATCACTATTGTGGCTTTATCAAAAATCAAAAGTTCATTGTTTGAATTACAAAGCACCCCGGTAAGTTGACTCCATGGCTCCTATTGTAGTATTTGTTGCCTTAGCCTGTTTCATAATCCCTGTCTCTTTATAATTTTGCTCCAAATATCTAAGAACCAACACATTAATTCTGTGTGGCATAATGTGTCACCTTACAGGGTACAGAAGGAGCTAGCCGCCCTGAGGAAGTCCCCTCCTGTCGGTATCCAGGTGTCGCTACCTTCAGACGACCTGCATGTGTGGGAGGCTGTCATCCCGGGGCCACAGGACTCTCTGTACAAAGGTACTGCTGTTTTTACAGCACTGAATCAGAATTTTTACTTCATCTCTTCCCTATAGCAGGGCTCGGATTTTTTCTTCTGCACAAATGCACCACAAAGTTCATAAAAATGGAATTTCTTGAAAGAAGTTCCCAGTACCACCATTTTGTTGTCGTCGACTTCATTGATGCTACTGTAAATAATGCAAGGCAATATTTGACTACCGCTGGTCCAACATATATGCGGGTATGGTTTTGTCATGGACAAGTGGTGGATATAGGTGCAGGTAGCATCAAAAATACATACAAAGCCCCGATATGCAGGTCTTTTTCATTAAGCCCTGCTTATAGTTAACGTTTATGGTAACATGATTGCATTTACGATTTAATAGCCAATGTAAATCGGCATATCAGTGTAACAGTTGTAGCTGGAAATAAAAAAAAATGTCATAGATTTGGGACTAACATTTTTTTATCGAGCATCATAATTGAGCATCATCATAATTGCGATTACCTTAATATTTTATGACAACAGTACATCAGATTCCTAAATCATTAACGCAACGTCTTCTTATTCACTAACAGGAGGGAAGTTCAAGATTCAGATACTTCTTCCGTATCCTTTTTATGTATGTGGCAATTTGTAAATGTGATAGAGTGGTACCGTACCAATACATTATTGAAGTAGAACTATATAATTCATATATAGATAGCCAGATAAGTTCGCACGTAATGTGCCATCACTATTAACACATCGTTTCTGTGTGAAAACTCTCAGAGATTAACAGTATACGTTACTGTAAATTTAGGAACTCTGCTTTAGCAATGTTAAATAGATGAGGAAATTCTATTTACAGAACATCTAAATATTATCAACAAATACACTTATACTTGGAATAAAGTATTAAAAGGCAACCAATGTAATTTCAGGGCGGACAAACAAAAACATTCTAGAAGATAGAATTATCTATCTGATATTGACATTTGCTACCATTTTACAATGTCAACATTTCATAATTGAAAGCGTGTAAAAAAAACAACAAAACTACGCGAGGCGTCTCATTATTTGGGGGCGGTGGTGGTGGTTTCCGTCCACAAATAGCTAAAACAATCTTACGATACGAAACAAGCAACCGCATTTTTGCCTCACAGGTGTCTGAAATTACCAGAAAATTGATATTAAAAGTCCAATTTTGCCGCCCTTACATTTCATTTAATCCTTTGAGGTTACAAGGAAAAGCTTTATGGTTGAGCCCGTTTATTTTTTTCGCCACCATCTATGATGCACGACATCGGATGGATTTAATGTATACGGTAAAGTTCGAAGTTTCGTTTTATTCCTTGACTGTTCATGTAGCGAAAACTACCCCCTTGGGCCTCCAATCGTAAGTACATTGATCATTTTATCTCTACACTATGTTTATTCACAAACCAAAACAGTCCACCTCAAGTTTGCCTAAGCTAAGTAAAGTTCATCGTTCGATAGTACCTACATGTGATGATAATAACAGGTCATTATAGTCAAGATTCTTACTATATATGTACCTTATTCCGTGCTAATTTTCAAGACTGTAGAAAAGTTCTTTTCATAGCAGCTTCCTAAGTAAAGTAGAGTGTGCAATTATCTCTTGCTCCGCTAGGTGCGCTTCATCACGCCGATCTACCACCTGAACGTGAGTCAGACTAGCGGCCAGGTGTGTCTCCGCTTCCTGGCTGAAGATGAGTGGGTGGCAGGAGGAACCATTGAACAGGTAAGGAATCATCACGTAGACTACCTTAGGTACAGAAAGTCAATTTTATTGTCATTCCTTTTCAGTAAGTTGCATCCTCCATTGCAACTACCATTTACCAAGTGGAGATATGACGCAAAATATGACGCCTTACGCGACGGTCACAACCCGCCGTGCGTGCTTTTTGTCCGTAAGTATTTTGGGAGGCTACGTCTTCTACGTTTTTTTCTGAAAACGTGGAGAAGGAGTGCCGTCTACGCACGTCACTCGCACGGTTTCGCAAGGTGTAAGAGTGGTCTGCACGCCAAGTCTGGCCGTGAGCGGTTGCGTGCATCGTACGTTGCGCAAGTGGTAAGTGAATTGCACGTGCTTACAAAGTACGATCTCTGTGCGATTGCAAATTTACCGTAACGAGGGCGTACTCACACGTGCCTCTTCCGTACGGCACGTACGGAGCACGCGCGTCGCTCGTACTTGCACGCACGGGTGGTGAATCCGTAGACCGCACGCAGAAAAAGTTTTTACATGCACTTAAAGTTCTACGGCGTGTCCGCGTGGTTCCAAATCCGTAGGATTCCGCACGGAGGCGGTACTCACGCACGGATGCCCTGTGTTTACCAACGTTTTTGCACGTAGATAGCACGCAGAAGCACGTGCGGCGGGTTGTGACCGTAGCTTTACGAATGCGTTAAAAAGTCTGACACACAGCTGTCAGACATGTTTGTTTATATATAGACATAACAAGGAAAATTGTAGATTTTGTACCTCCGGGTATTGTAATGTATGTTGCAGAATGTTGGGTGCATGTTGGGACTGTTCTTTAAATTAGTGAATGGTGTCTAGGTGTGTGTGTGTTCACGCGAATACCATTTTTTCGAAAAGTTTCGAGATGTTTGTAATTTGCTAAATGATCTGTGAAATCTCTAATCCCGACTG